ATATCAACAATGGATCAAATGACTACTTGCAATGTGACAGGGGTCGCTCATAGTGACGGATACCACAGAGAATTAGTTATGTAAGGAATTTTAACATCTGATGAGCCCACTGTATGCTACCTGTCCAGCACTAAACAGCAGAAAAAGTTAGCAACTAGCTAAAGACCGTATGTAGCAATTAGCAGCTAAAAGTCCAGATATTTTCCCCAGGAATTAGAGACCAAAACAGAACTAAAAGAGAGCGAATATTAAACTTATATTGCTGTGGCGAGAAACAAAACTCCAAATGAACGCTAATATTGCTGCGCCGCTGCCGTCAACTTTTTGCTAACATGTTCGACACTTTAAAAGGTCATACACTGTCTAACAGTGGCTAAAAAACGGATTAATGCACATTTAAAGAAATGCTACAGTCAGCTGCTAAGCTAACTGGCAGACACAGCTTATGAACTTCAACGTTTTCAAGCAGCAGTAGTAGGCTTAGCTAATTACTAGCTAATAATTTTTTAGCCAATTTTACTTTAAAATGAAAATAAGGTGAGTAATAATGAGTAAATGAGCCAACACACTGAAACATACTGAAACCCTTTACACAGCGTCGGAACAGCCCTCTGTTATCCCCAGCCATAACAGTGCACTGTTACATAACCATAAAGGTTAAACTTAATCTTTAACAATACTATAAGAGCCCAGTGCGGTGATATAGGTCAGTGTGTGTTTACTGTTATTTTAACACACTCTGCTGTCCAGTGTGTCCATTAGGCAGCGCGTTGTGCTGGGTCGCTCCCTCCCAGAGGACGTCTCAATGATGATGACATACAGTTGCTCAGAGAATTGCGTCATGCCCGGATTAGTGTGTGGATCTGTGTGTGTGCGGGTGGGTGTGTTCATGTATTTCTATACTTATGAGGAACAATGTAGGAACTCATGTTAGTCAGGATCTTGTAAATAATCATTTTAAACATACCTTTACTAATGTCTGTCTAATGTGTCTTTTGCTAATCATTTTCCTTGTTGTGTTATTATTTTATAGTTCTTTTATGGTTTTTATGTAATGTGTACTTTATGTCTCACATTAAGTATCTTCTCTAGGAAAAATATAATGTCATTTCCATTGCAGTAGAACATTAGTTTTAGGGTTAGGTTAGGTTGTTAAGGCTCAAGTATCAGGTACTTATAAGGGTGCCAGTAATGAATGTCATCATTGAGGATACTCATGAGCGTGGTATGACAATGTGAATGTGTGTGTGTGTGTGTGTGTGTGTGTGTGTGTTCCTGTTCTCTTGTCTCAACAACACCATTGTTAGATCCACTTCCTGTGCAGCAGCTTGCAGCTGGACTCTTATACTGACTAATACGGGGAGAATTCAAATACACACACACTCTCTCACAGTCAGAGCAGTTGTTTCCACTCATACATGTTGGCTAAACATAAATGGCAGCAATGATGTCATCAAACTGGGACAAACTGTTGTTTTTTTTAACTTTGTTTTTTGCCAGGCAGGGCAAAACTGCCCCAGTCAGGCTGATCAGAGGCGAGGAGAGGGAGGAGAAGTGTGTTCGTTTAAGGGGACAAGTAAGTAAGAGAGGAGAGGAGGTGAAAAGAGGAGGAGGAGGAGAGAGGGAGAAAACAGGACGAGAGAGAGAGAGAGGGTGTCAGGCACACTGCCAGCATGCAGGTCTAATATGAAAAACGATGTCTGCGGCTGCAGCGACAGGCGAGTGAGGATGGATCCAATTCTGCATCAGACACACTACATCACATTCCCCGCAGACGCCTATCTGCGCTCGAGTTATGTTCACACACATATCGCTGCTGTAAATCATCTGTTACAACAAGGGGGTTATGTAATAGAGCTTCCCTTTAAAAATCTGTGTGCAGCATCATTCAGCAGTAGCACTGGCAGATTAAAACCGCGCGGCAGCCTCATTGTTATGCCTTGAATGCAGAACAACAAAGATAAATCACGGTGACAAATCACAAGAGTTTCACGGTGTGTTACCACAGCGTGCGCCTCCCCGCAGGGCGCACACTCATTTTTCTCAGGTGGATTGACTTGTCGACACATCTGCACTCACTTCTGTTCACATGATCACCTGCAGACACTGTTAAACAAGATGTGTAGCGTTGAAATGAACATGTGTGGGTCACCGGTGTGCTGATTTTGAGATGTGCACTACATCTACAGTGAACGAGGCTGTTGCTGAGCGGGCTGGGAGAGACTCTTCCACTTGGTTACAAAGTGCTTTTGGGCCTTAAACAGCGTGAGGTTCTGTTCTTCCAGTCTAAATGTCAGTCTTGAGGTATGAGGACAGCCATGTTTTTTATTTTTAGCCTTGCTAGCAGCATTGCTCTAGGCGATGTCAGTCTGTTGGTGGGTCGGTCTCACTGATCTCAACATGTCGTGGATGGACTGGCATTTTGTACGGAGCTTCGTTGCTTCCCAGATGACGAATCGTAATCACCTTGATGATCCCCTGACTTTTCCTCTAGCGCCACCATGTGGTTGACATTTGTGTGTGTGGTTTTTTTTGTGTGAAATGTCTCAACAACTATTATATAGATGGATGGATTGCCATTAAGTTTGGTACAAATCATTCACGTGTCCCTCAGGATGAATTGTAAAAATGTTGGTGATCTTTTGACGTTTCATCTAGCACCATCATGAGGTCACAATTTCAACTAGTCCAGTACTTTGTCTTTTAAATAAAAACAGAGCGTTACCCTCCGTAGGTGTAAAATGAAACCAACACGAAGTGCCCAAAACTGATGTTCTTTAAACTTTAGTCTGACTGCAGAGGTAATCAATCTCCTTAAGCCCCCATATTAAAATGCATGTTTATAGCCTGGTGCAAAAAACGGTTTCGGCCTCTATAGCTTATTTCCCTGTTCGTGAAAATTGTACAGGGGGTGAATTTTGATACAACTCACACATGTAAATTATATTAAGGGTTAAAGTTAGTCATAATTAAGGGTGTGGCCACTTCATGCCGCATGATCAACATTATAGCTGCTAAAGGTCAGGATGTTAGCATCGTGAACATCATGATAGCGTTTAGCTCAAGCACTTTGGTGCCTGTAGTCCAGCCTCACAGAGCTGCTTGCATGCCTGTAGACTCTAATTTTGGTTCATACTGTTTGTTCAATCACAAACCAGTAAAAGATCAAAACCAACAATGTTTTAATTCAATCTATAATTTCCAACTTCCCTTACCCTGTCTGTGGCATGTGGCCCCCAGCCCATTTGTGCTTTCAGTAAATCTTTAAAAATGAGTCACAAACCCAGTTTCTTTTATTTTCTTAACTTTTGAAGAAACCCATTTGATTTTTCTCAGACTGCTAAAGCCTCATAATGGCTTTGGCATGTGACCCATGTGAAACAATATGAATCATGTAACCATTACAGTCTGTAAAATTAGAAACTCTGTTCAAACATTAAACTTATTTAAACTTTGTTCCCATAGAACTTCTTAATTTTAAATTCTTGCAGAGATTTCAACGTTTAGTAAAATACCAAATATGTCCATGTAATGGAAGGGTGCAGCCATAAAAAGTCTTGGGTTTGAAAATGAGTATAAACATCATAAAGCTTAAATGATGGCATACAGAGTGTGGACTAAGGATCTGTTCCTCATTAAAGCTTTTTAAAGTGGGATGTGTGTGTGTGTGTGTGTTAATGAGTTAAAAAGCACATTTTTGTACATCGTCAAAACATTTCCTACTTGTCATCATTTTCACTATTAATATATTTGACCGGTAACAGTCTGCTCATACTCATTCTACTGCTGCTAAATGATACACTGGTATGCATATATTTATACATCTAAGTGTTGGTAATGCTAGCTGCATGTTTGCACCCCTTACACTGACTTCCTATTTGCATCCTGTTTTTCTTTGATGTATACTGCCGGTGCTCATTTGCTGCAATGGCCTGATTCCCCACAGGGATCATTAATGTTTCATCTAATCTAATCGAACCCCTGCTGTCACCACCGAGCTGCCTCACAGTCAAGACAACAGTGCAGAGCCGCAGAGCAGGATTGTAACAGAAAATCCTGTTTGATATAAAGCAGACAGTGATAAGCTCCCACTGTGTCATAAACATTAAACTGAATGTGAGGGAGGAACAGGGAAATATGACCAAGCAGAATAACAGCTGATGATTAACTTTGAGGCTGCATGATTACTGAATTGCACAGAGACTGTATGTGGCACAAAGGGTTAACGGCCACATTCGCTGTTCCTGTGCGAATGTCTGCGGCTGTGATGTCCCGCAGTGTAACAACCTGCTAATTCACCTGTAAACGTGTTTTACGGCTCGTTCCTCCTCTCTGTCTTTTGAA